AGATAAACAGATTAAAAAAAAAAAAACTTGAGTTAACAAAATTTTTAAGTTGAAAGATTTAACATACACATTTATTAAAAAAAAAAAAAGAGTTCACACTTTCTTGTGAAAAACTGTAAAGTCAGCCAGTGTTAGGCACACATATCTTTGTAACGAGGCAAGAATGTGCTAGAGTTGAGTGGTGTTCAGCCCATTTCTCCTTTGCCCTCCACTCACTGAAGATATTCACTCACTCACTCACTCATTCATTCACTCTTTCACTTTACCTGCCCAAACTCTGTAGGCTTTTCAGTTTGTTGACCCTTGAACTCATCCAACTACTGAGTTTCGCAGATCAAATGATATTAAGTGACTTACCTAAGGTCATGGAGTGCCTCAGTGGCAGAGAAAGGACCAGAACTCAGATCTCTTCCCTCCAAGCCCAGCATCCATCGTTTCCAACCCCAGAAGCACAACAGCCCGAAAACCTTGGCTAATTACCCCTGGGCATAAGGCCCATCATCTTTGCAGACAGTGGGTGGCTCCCAGGGCTGGCCCCTGAGCACTCGTGGGTGGGACTGAGGCTCTGGCCAGGGGAAGGCTGGGAGAGGGGCAAAGAGCTGTTTACCCAGGAGGTCCCCGGAGCAGGCAGAGAAGAGAGGTCCCCCGCTGGAGCCACCATGCACGGCACACGTGGTCTGCAGCATCACCGGTGTGTCATCCACCTGCACCACAGCCGACAGGATGCCCGAGGTCACCGAGGGCCCGCAAGCCTGGCCGAAGACACCGAAGCCCACTACACTGACCGCCTCGCCTGCCAGGGAAGGAAGGAGGGTTAAGCTGGGGAGCCTCCTCCGTCTGGCAGGACTCACACTCACCACGCCCCCCCGCCGGTCCTCTCCAAATTTCCAAACCCTGTCTGCCTTTCTAGTTTCTGCTCAGATGCCTGTTGCCCCCATGAGAACTTTCCCCAGGCCCCTACAGAAAGAGGTCAGGACCTCCACTGAGTTCCCAGCACTGTATCTGCTCCATCGTTTCTCTTCAGCCCTCATTCCCCTTCTGGACTGGGTAGTCACTTTTTAAGATTCCTAGCATCTAGCCAGGGGCTCAATACATGTTTGTGGAATTAACACCCAACTCCTGGGACTAAAAAGTCTATTGGTGAAAATAAAATGCTGACAATGACTACAAAATGGGCACCACCGTCCTTCACCAAGTGCTTTACAGGCACTATCTTACCCAGTCCTCACAAGACCTAGGAGTAAGTAGCATTATCCCCATTTTACAAATGTGGAAACCAAGACAAAGAATATTAAGTTGCCTGTCCAAGGACACAGGGCTAGTAAGTGGCAGAAGAGATGCCAATGCAGTGAGCTCATAATCCTTGTTACGTTATAACAAATCACATCCACAAACCAAAACATCTGGTACTTCTGTGGCAGCATCACAAGGCCTTTTACTCAAATCATGCCACTGGAGCCTCACAGAGCAGCCTGCAGTGTTATGAGTCCTCCTCAAGGTTCAGCACCTCCACGCTACACTGCTGCAGGGCCTCAGGAAAAAGACATGCTTTACCTTTCACTGGGAATTCCACCTGCCCCCCAGCACCATGGGCATGCTGAGCACAGCAGGGAGGCCTCTAAGAGCAACTCCAGCCAAAGCACTGTAACCAGGATGCAACAAGGTGCCAGTTTGACTCGTTACTCCAACATGGGTGGGGAAGGAAGCTGACTTGGGGGGCTGGTCCCTGATCTGTAGGTGCCCAACACTGATTTTCCAAGGTCCTTTCCAGACCAAAGGGACACTTTGTTCATTACCTTCATGGAAATGCTCAGCAGGCACAGGTATAGGGACACCATCTAGGTCCTCCTCCAGGCTCACAACTGCTATGTCATAGGGAGACGTCTCCTGGGTGGCAAACACCACATGTCCCCAGATTAAGGCACTCCTGGATACAAGAGAAACAAAATGACAGGTTAGCTCTCCCAACCTTTAGCACTGAGTGGAAGCAAAATAATGAGTAACAGTAAAAATCATGAACTTGGGACTCAAAAGATTTGGGGTCGGCCCTGGAACATACCTGCAAGCAACCCTGGGCACATCGCTTAGCTGTTCTGTGGAATTTCCAAACACGCTTTACCAAGTGCAGAGTACCTCTACATACAGATTCTTGCACGTTATCATGATCACAGACACCCAGCACCCAGGGAGCACTGTGGGCCAGGCCTGGTATTAATGTTCTATGGACATCATTTCATTTATTCCTCAAAGCAGCTCCATGAACTAGGCACTGGTATTATCTCCATTTCAGATGGTGCTTTTGAGGCCCAGAGAGGTTGAGTAAATAAATATATCTCACAGTCACACAGTTAGTGGGAAGAGCCAGGGCTGATTTTCCCAGGGTCTTCCTTTTCTGCCTCATTTGATAACAATCCTGTCATTTAGTGGGACAGACATGATACAATTTCATCCTCTGGGTCCATGTTTATACAGATGCTAGCACTTCTACAGCTCTTATTATGTGGCAGTAAGAAGACTTTATATGTCAATTCCTGGGAAAGCAGCTTAGACAGATTAAGCACATTGCCCAAGATTATGCATGGCTGCCTGATACACACACTGCAGGAATAGCTTCTGGTAGACCTGGTGGGTTCCCTAGGACCAGAGTATGTTGGGGTGGAGGATGGTGGGAGCGGGGAGGAATTGAGGACCACACACAGAGGAAAATTCTCAGCATCAGTCTTCCCTATACAGTCATGGCCATGCTGTTGATTGTCAGAGGGGATTCCTATGGCAAAGCCAGGCTGGGTTAACCTTGGAAGTTCAGTAGAGGCATTTGGGAAGATCTGGGCTGAGAAGTTGGGTTGGACCACGTACAGGAGAACAACAAGCATTAACACGAAGGTGCTACAGTGCTTTGCTTTGGCCTAGGTAAAGCACCTGGGGTTACAGAAGAAACAGAAAGAACATGTATTAGAAAGTCAAACCAAGAAGCTGAAGCTGCCAACTCCACTGTCAAAGCAACTGAACTACATGACAGCAAGAGTGCTTTCCTTGCAGAGAGGGGACAAATGACTGTCTGAAGTCCTAAACTGGCAGCCAAGACCACCCCACAACTGTTCAAAATATACCTATTTGCCTGGGCCCCACTCAAACATTCTTTTTTTTTTCCCATTTATTTTTATTAGTTGGAGGCTAATTACTTTACAATATTGTAGTGATTTTTGCCATACATTGACATGAATCAGCCATGGATTTACATGTCGAACATTCTAATTAGGTGGAACCCCGTATCTGTCATTCTGATCCAGAAGGGATGTTCTCATTAAGATCTAAGAGATAAACCAAGTAACAGTAACAGGCTCCTCTCCTACTCCAGGAGGGTGGCACCCTGGGTGCCTGGCACTTCCCTCAGCATTCAGGGGAAAGAGAACAGGGTTAGGAAGACTCCATTCAAGGGCCTCTGGTGTGTGGGTGCAAGGCTGAGACAGCGCCGTTGCCCAGAAGGAATTCAGACTGGGAGTGGGAGCTCAATGATGCTTAGCCAGGGATGCTGAACACCACCACAGACCTCCAGAATTATTTGGCATCTTGCCCAAGTCCCATTTACCCTCTGCCAGGAGGCACAAAACTCCCTACTCTGGGGTTCTGAGTACCAAGGATGAGAGAAGGGTCCCAGGTCCCTACACATAGTGCACCACCAAGGCATAAGCCTGAGACCAGAAGGCCTCCGTAATCCTCAGGATTATGACCTGAGGCCTGGGATCTAGACCTGACAGCTGGTGAGGGAGTGGAGTGCTGGCGACCTTGAGGGCCTTACTTGGGGGTGGCAGAGCGCACCAGGACCCTGGCCGTCTCCCGGGGGGCCACATGCCGGCAGGTCACCACGAGACCGGGTGCCACGACCACTCCGGAGCCCCAGACAGAACCACACTCCACCAGCACGGCCGCAGCTGCCCAAGGGGGCCCGGGGTCTCGGTATCGGAGGGGCAGGCCCCACGGGGCGCCCATCTCAGGCGGTAGGAGGGTGGCCAGGGCGGCAGTGTCGGGGTGAAGGCGGCAGAGGGCGTCTCGGGCGACGCTGAGCAGTGGGGCGGCGGCGCAGAGCAGCGTGAGGCCCACCCACTCGCGGGCCTTCCAGCAGAGGGGTGCAGCCACCAGCGCCACCAACGTCCCCGAGGGCCGCGATGCGAACACGCCTCCGCCCTCCGTGCCGGGCAGGCAGCGGGCATCAGTGAGCAGCAGCGGGCCGGCCGAGTTGCTGAGCACGCCGCGGCTGAGCGTATTGAGAAAGATGTCCGGGCAGAAGGCCCCGAACGGGGAGCCGCAAGCCAGGAGCGGTGCGCCCTTGGGCACGTCCCCGAGAGGAGCCACGGCCAGTACCGGCCCTCGCTCCTCCACCTCCTTCTCCGGCTCCGCCCTCACGCGAAGCAGCGCGAACCACCCCAGTGCTCTCAGCTGGTCCTCTTCCTCCTCCTCCGACACCTCGTCACCCGGTGCGGCGTTTGCGAAGCGCCACTGCTCGGCCTCCTCGCCGCCGAAGAGGTGCGAGAAGTGGCCCCGGAAGGCCGGGCAGCTCAACAGCAGCAGAAGCTCGGCGGGGCGCGGGGGTTGCAGTGGCCGTCCGCGGGGCCTGGCGGGCGGGCCGGGCTCCAGGCCGGCGCACTGGGGCGTGCACAACCCCGGGCGACCCCGCTCCGCGCGGCCTGCCGAACTTGCGGCGGTTGGGCCCCACTGCACGTGCAGGCGCAGGTCGTCGCCGCAACTGTCGCCGGGCAGGAAGGCGGCGCTCGCCGCGGTCAGCGCCCCGCTGCCGGCCCGCAGGAAGGGGGTGAAGATGCCCCCATGGCACAGCACCAGGCCCGGGCGACGGTTTAGGATCACCCCGCTGCAGCTCCACGAGCCTGCCTCGGGCTGCCCTGCCCGGGAGGCGCTCACTACGCAGCCCGCCTGCTCTGCTGCCCTCATGGCGGGCCCCCACTGCCGCCCCATGGCCTCCTCCGGGACGGCACACCGAGGGCTTCCCGGAGAGTTAGCGAGCGAGCGAGCAAGGACCACGACCGGAACCAGCTAACCCCACGTGGCGCCACCCAAAGCTGGAAGCGAGAGGTGCAAGCACTGTCCCAGGGCTTCCTCGTCAGGCCGGATTGGCTAAACTCCATTGGCTGGGCAAGGGGCCGAGCCCTGATTGGCTGCTGAGATTGACCCCCGCCTCTCCCCGCCCTAGACCCTTCAGGTCACCTGAGCAACGCAAGCGGAAGCTGTAGGACCGGAGGACGAGCCCCGGAGGACGAGCCCCGGGAGAGTGACTGGAATGTGGCTTTTACAGGGAGATAAGGGCGTGCTGGTCCCTCAGAGCCTAGTCTCGTCTCTGTTCGCTGAGCTGCAAGAAAGGGAATACAAATACGTGCTGCCGTGCGTAGACTTGCCCAGTCCCTAATAGGTCCTGTCAGTATCTGCCGAGGTGTAGGAGACATCTGACCTCTGATCCCTGAGATGAGACGGGCAAAAAAGCCGTTCAGTACTTTGAAATTTTGTAAGTAAGTCGTACAGCAATCCACTAGGAGATAATAGAGCTCATAAGATTACAACTCGGGTCTTTTGATGCCAAAGCCCACACTACCAATCTCATGGAAACTGGATTTGCTCAAAATAAAACTGGCCTTCAAAACTATGATAAACAGTTGTTGTTTAGTTGCTAAGTAGTGACCGACTTTCTGTGAACCCATGGACTGTAGCCCTCCTGGCTCCTCTCTCCGTGGGATTTCCCAGGCAAGAATACTGGAGTGAGTTGCCATTTCCTCCTCCAGGGGATCTTCCCCACCCAGGTCTCTTGCATCTCCTGCATTGGCAGGCAGATTCTTTACCATTGAGTCACCAGGGAAGCCCAGGATAAACAGTAGCTGAAGTCAAAGTTTTAAGTTACACAGCCCTATATTTGGCAGTATACACATTTCATATAAAGACATTTATATGGTTTATAGGATTTACCTAGGTTAGGGGTTCTTTTTTCTGTAAAGGGTCAGAGTGTAAATAGATCAGGGTTTGTGAGCCATATAGTCTGTGTCTCAAATATTAAGCTCTGCTGCTGTAGCGTGCAAAAGCTAAAGGAGTGGGATGGCTGTGTTCTAATAAAATTTAATTCAAAGAGTTTGAATTCTTTGTAACTGTAGCATGTCACAAAATTGCACCTGTTTTTCCCTCACAGGTCATACAACAGGCAGCACGCCAGATCGAGACCACAAGCCATCCCAGTGAAGTCACCCTGAGGGCAGAGGAATATGAACAAGTGTTTTGGATATTCCTGAAGCAGACACCACAAGCTAGGCATTTTGTGAAGGTCTGTTTATCACACTATCGACTAAAGTACACATTAATTTTAATAAATTATATTAGTATATATTTATGTCAGCATTAATGAAAAACATTCAATTATATAACCTTTCTAATCAATTTTTTAATAAATTAATGCTGCTTGGTTTTATCTGCAACACATACAGGGTAATGTTCAGTATTTCCAGTCACACAAACCTGTTTGAGAAAGGGAAATGATCCATTATAGTATGAGGCAGGACTGAAATCAGTTTTCCCATAGCAGGTACTGTCTTTTAGTTCTGTGACACAGAAGATGGCCTGATCACAGTAAAATCTGACTATCCAACTTCCCAGCAATTAAGAAAGTGTTTCTCTCTAGAGTCCAGTGATTCTCCCTTAATGACCCTCAAGCCTCCAGCATGAACTGTTTGCATCAGGTTTTTCCCTATCTACGACACATCACAGTAGAGTCCTGACCCCCCGACTGCTGGGTTCATTGACTCAGCCTTTAATTTTCATGCTCTGACTCAAGTAGCACAAATAAATTCGTATGTATGTAAAACCCATGCCATCATTTCACAGTATGTTTCAAGCTCAAGATGTCTCCAGTAATTTAATACTCTGTCAAAAACAACCTGCTGCATTTTGCTTCCCACTCTATTTTATTCCAGTATTTAAATTTTAGAACCTTATTTGGGTTTTTTTAAAAGCAAAGCTTCCTATAAGCCTAGTAAATGCTCAAGCATAGGTTTCATTACTTTTCCTATTTTGCAAAATGTAGCATTTAACTGAATCTCTCCAATTTTATATCAAATGATGAAACCAGCTAAACTGAACCCAGCCCCTACTAGCGTGTTAATATATGATTTTGTACAAAAAGTCTGCCATGTCCATCCTGTTGCAGAAATAACCACCAATCCTGGGCCCACCATTTGTTGCAAGACTCTCAAACAGTACTAAATTTATCACTTGTAGTGGAATGTGTAAACTACCCTGGTCTTTCTACGCACCCACACCCTGCATCCCCTCATAGCAAAATTTGTCTCTCTTATCTGTTGTATGTTCATACTCAGAACAAGCCAATGCCAAAAAGGAGCGAGATAGCAAACTTGTTTTAACTTTTTATTAAAACGCTTAAGATACAGATTGACTCTCTTTAGTAAATGACTGTTTTACTTTTCCTGAAATAGGACATATACGCACTCTGATAAAACAGAATGAAAAGTCTCAATTCACGGGAGTTCTTGTACAAGGCTCTGATCCTAACTGTTAGGAGCCAAGCTCCTCGCAGCATCTTCTTTCCTCTATTTTATTATAGGAACTGTGTTTTCTGTGGGGGAAGAAACAGACAGGTGCCACTTGATTTTTCAATCCCAACTCTTTCTCCGGTGGCCAAAATAAACCACTTTCACAAAGAGCTGCCCTGTGTAGAATCCATAGTTTTCTAGCTTGCTAAAAATTGACTAGGGACAAATAGAAAAAAAA